CTTTGGTATATGTAAATTACAAATTTTTATTGCTGATTCCTATCATCAAAACATACAATTTTCATTGTTTGTTGATTTTGGGCCTACTCCTACCAAAATCAGTTTACATTCATTCTAATCACACATACAGTGTACACTTCTATTCACTTAAGACTGACACAGAGGTATTAACGTTTTGTGTAGAAAAGCAAAGCAAATTTAAGTAAAAAGAAAATATTACCGAAATAATAACGCTAGGACCAGCCTCTCCTAATATTTGCAAGTATCATCTTGATACGACAACTTCTCACACCTAATGTCAATTTGGTTTAATGTCCGTGTAGTTTATATTTTAACAAGCTGGTATAAACTATGCCCAAACAAGTCCAACATGGGAGCCAGTAAAAATAATCCGCACTTTGTTATTTATCCTGTTTAATAAAAAGTAAATTAAATAGATTTACTTTCTACTTGTCCAAGTGAAAATGAGTGACCAGAGATAAAAGGGATATAACAACTTATAAACCCAAAATACTAGCAGTATTTTCATGTTGAGACCTCTTGACAGATAGGTTTTATTTTATAATTACCTATTTATAAAAAAAATATAGGTATACTTTCCTTTGTATATTTTTAAGATAAAGACAAATACATTTATATTTATTTTTCTATAAAGGACTTGATGTGGGGATCCCACAAAATAGCTATGTTATAACTACAAATTAAATTATAAAATTCACATGAAGGTGCCTACAGAAACCTGCACATTTACATATCCCAAACTGGAAAATCTCTTTATACATTATCAACTTGGTCGCTATTCTAATAAAATTGAAAATCTATAGCAAAAATTTTAAAGCTTGATGTGCCAGTGTACGTTTTGTTTAAATATTATTTATGCACTCAATGTTAAAATATCAATATGTATATATATAGACTAAACCAAGTTGCTCATTTAAACTCTATTTACGCAAATTGTTATTATTTTTTATAGAAATAGATGTTTATTCCTTCCTTTATCTAATTATCTGTACTAGTGCACTACAGACTGGCTTTGATGGTAATGATGTTTATGTGCATTGGCTCAGTCAGTTGTAACTTCATGATGTACAGGTTACTGCAACTACATAGCACCAGTAAAAAGCAATTCGCAAGACTACAAGTAACTATGATCCTGCTTAAACTTTTACCCTAAGACACATTTACCTGTCGAAGAGTTCCTTTTTTATTTATAATATAATTATTTTTTCGTAGTATGCTATAAGAGTAACAAATAACAACAGTCACAATTCAAATGATCGTTAATAATCATTAGCCTAATTTACTATTTATTTTACATATAACTCATGCTGCATCGACTTTTAATACACTGAACTCTACCTGCATTCTCATCTATTCTGATCACTTTCTTTGCGTTTTCTAATATCTGACAAATCATAAATTCGATAATATTTTGTATCTGCTTATTCTTAGTTTCGTCCAGATACATAGTATGCATACAGAAAAGTGTCATCCAAAATGCCTCTTTTATTGTTACCATTATGTAAATCGGTCATTTTCAATAACAACTTGGCCAGCTGCACATCAACCATTTTATACATATAATAATATTGTCAATTGCGTGTACTTTGCTAGAACTTAAATTTTAGACACTATGCAGCAAAATTGCACATAAAAGAGCAGGCAAATAGAAGGAAAATTAAAATATCTTCATAAAATAAAATATATCTGCTATTTGTATGAAGTAACACTGCAAAACCTTATAACTTATATATAAATGATCAATTTGGTACATACTGTACCATTCCAAACACAGGAAGGGTAATAGTTATTCAGCATTGTCGTAACGCACCCTGAAACAAGGACAACAAACAGATGAGTATAGGACTAGTACCTAAAATGTTAATGAATAACAGGTAAAAATGTTTTAAGGTGATTTGACCTAATATTCTATTATATCTGAACTAATATTTTTATTTTTGTATCTTTTATCAATAATGTTAAATATGATACATTTTTATGAATTTTCTGTAAAAATCACACCATCATATTTTTGCGTTAAGCTACTTATTTATAAGCACACTTAGTTTTTCTTAAAATTGTCTAGAAAATATGATCAATTTAGAATGTTTATTAAATTGAAAATTTGAAATTATAAAAATATTTATGAAATATTTTTTCGCAGTGGAAGAGCTATGCTTCGGCACCAATGGGCCGCCTCGACCGGAGTAATACCATGGCCTCGCAGAAAACCGGTGTGAAGCAGCGCTTGCGCTGTGTTTTACCGAGAGAGTTAGGGGTACCGAAGCCCCCCCCCCCCTTCATAATGGCGCAGTTGATATCAGATTTTCTATCCCAGGAGACCAACTGCGTTAGAGAATATTTTTTAACGGGGGAAAATCATCGAATGACTGCTCCCGCCTGGGTGAGGCGGGAGGAGTGTCAGACTTACTGACTAAAAACCACCCCGTTACTTCTCCTGCACGTCCAGCCGGAGCCCCGGTTCCCGTTAGGTTCTCCGCGACTCCGAATCGGCATCGGATCGTTGGGCCCCATCTGTGGTGGTCTGATGGCTCTTAGAGGCGCGCGCGGAACGCGACGCGGCGTACATTCGGTTCTGTTTCTGGTCAGACGGGGAGTCACCCATGCTCGCCGTCCGCAGGCCCGCGCTTACGGTGGCCGGAGATCGTCCCGCGATCCCCGACGCCAGGTGTGACCTTCGCGATGGCAGGGTTGCGAGGAGGCAGCGCTCACGCGTTTTTTTATTTTTGTTACTCGATTTCTCGAAGATGCCTGAACCGATTTCAAAAATTCTTTTTTTATTTGAAAGGGTAGGTTTGTCATTTGGTCCCATTTTCATGAAGTCAGGATCTGGTGATTGAATCCCAGGAAAACCGAGGGGAGCTTTTAAAAATTAAAGGGGCGACTAGTGCATTTGTTAATTTTTTCGTTGAGTATTTAAAACCACTACAATCTGGGCGCTTACTCTTGAAACCAATCTCAATGTCAATGCAATTTCAATCCAATATGATCTCAATAATTATTAAATGTCAACACTATACAACCACAATCTTAGCTGTTACAATAGCATTCAGAGTACGGAATATAAAGACAAACTCAATACCATTTAGTTCATTCAATATCTACGCAATACGGATGCAATGGGCTCTAGTATTGCAACTCAAGAGTACGAAATTTCACAATATCAATGTCGATCGATCGGAATTGGATTCAAGAGTAAGCCCCCTGATAAAGGTCTAGAGCTGATCTGATGATGGTTAACAGTAGCTACATTGTGTTTGGGTTTGATTAATTTGTATGGTATGTGATTGCCAATAAGGGTCTGATGATGAAGTGGTATCATAGTTGAGGGAACTCCTCAGCGGTTACCAGTAGCCATCTTGTGTTTTGTTTTAATTTTTGTAAATACAGTGATACTTTCTAAAGCGAGGCTGAGATGTGGTATAATTTGTGGGAATAAAAAAATACGGACATTAATGCATTGAAGGAGATGGAACTGGTAGATGTGATCAAAATTTGGGAAATGCAATTTTATCCTAGTGTAAAAACCGCGCTCGCTATTTTGCTTGCCCAGTCCTGAATGAACTGTACAATAGAACGATCGTTTAGCACATTACGGCGGGTCAAAACGTGGCTTTGCTTAACCATGAGCGAAAATCGTTTAAGCGGCCTGTGTATGCTAAGTGTGCACAGAACAATTTTTAGAAGAAGTGCTTAACAGGTTCTGCCAGAACACACGCCGTCTTCTCTTGAAGTAATATTACTCATACATATATTTAGTTATAACTTTAATTTATAAACACCGAGTATTCATATATTATTTTCTGTACCTGAAAATATAAACCTCTCAAATTAAGAGATTAACAAGTTTAAGATTAACGGCTCAAGGTACAAAAAATCTGAGGGCCACCGCCCTCCCCCGGGGGATAGGTTGACTGCTGCCCCACCCTGAGCCCAAAGCTGGCTACGCCCATGAGCGTTGGCAGTAAGTTTGGACGTAGCAAAGGCCTTCGATCTGGTTTGGCAGCTTCCTTCCTATGGGCTACCCGAGAAATTATGCGAATGGGTCTCCTTCTTCCTTGTAGACAGAAGCATTAAGGTTGTTGTCGACGGTGAATATCTGACTTGCTGTCTGTATACGCAGGCGGCCCTCAAGGCTGCGTGCTATCGGCTACATTGTTCCTCCTTCATATCAATGACATGCTGCAAATCAACGGCATTCATTGTTACGCGGATGACAACACAGGCGATGCCTACTACACCGGCCGCACTAACATTTCTCGGGAAAACGTCATAGAGAGAAAAAAATCATAGAGAGCCAAAACAGACTCGTGTCTGAAATAGACACAATTAAAGAACAATTGGTGTGCGGAAACACCACGAGGACACCGGTGACCGCAACCTATTGTTCTTTAATTGTGTCTATAATGACGGCACTCAAAGGGTTAAAAGGCCGGCAACACACCTGTGACTCCTCTGGTGTTGGTCCATCCGTCCATCAGGTGATCCGTCTGCTCGTTTGCATTACTATACCATATACCATAAAAAAATGGCTTGGGAAATTAAAAAAAAACTGCATTTGGAATAATAGCAATAATATCAAAATTATTAGTTGTTCAAATTCCAAATGAAATTTTTAAATATTATTAGTTGGACAATAGCTAATTTTCTATTGAACAAACAGGACCTTATGAGTTTTTTTTCTTATGCTTTATTATTGCCATCTAGTGACAAAACAAACGATAACCCTCTCATTGCTAAGCAAGCATTTTACTGCAAATATAATATGTAGGTACACCCACACATTAAGAAAAGGTACAACAGCAGGTGCACTGTTCGGTAGCAAACATTAAATCTACTAACAACAGCGCAATTATTTGCATGGCACGGATGTGGAGCGAAGTCGTGGGCAAAACCTGGTGGCTAACTAAAAATTCGAAAACGGAAATCAACCACAAGAGAGACACATTACATAGATGTTTACATTACATAAAGACGAATATTTAACTTGAACTCACCTCTGACGCTGTCCCTGCCTTTTGCTCAATCTGCGCCCAGACGAAGGGTCTTGTAATGTAAAGCGGTTTGTAGTTTCTGGAGCCACTCTCAAGTTCCGAGAATCAACAGATCGTGCTTTGGAGACCTATACATTGATAACATTTTTAATATTTTACATTATAAATTAAAAGTTTGCAAGTTAAGCTGAATATGGGGTGATGATTCGATTCCTGGGTGGGAGAGTTAGTTTATAATTTATTTTCAAATTTCTCAGTAACATTACACCACTAATTCACCATTATTACATGGGCCTTCTTACTTAACTGTAGGAGTTTTATCCCTTCCTGATGATGGATAGATTTGATTTTAGTACACACTTGATCTCATTAAGATTAAGAGTGTGTATATAATAATAATAATATATGCTTTATTGTACACCACACAATCACATTATAGGATAAATATTAACAAAAATAGTGTACAATGGGCGGTCTTATCGCACAAGGCGATTTCTTACAGACAACCTTTGGATGGAGCAGTAATAGGAGTCAGATATGGGTTGTCAAGTGTACAATAATTAATAACTTTATAAAGTACTATACATATTTATAATACAAAAATACAACTACAACTCAAAAAAAAAATAAAATAAAAATAAAATAATATACAATATGATACATAAATTACATAATGGTGTGTATTTGTGTATGTGTGTATGTGTATGTGTGTGGTTAAGATAGGATATAAAATTATAAAGAGAGGAAATGCTCTTTAACAAGTTTTTTAAATTGCGATATGGATTGAGCTCGCCTCGCTGCAATCGGTAAAGCATTCCACAACCGAGCTGCTTGCACTGTAAAGGATTTGTCTAAAAAGGAAGTGGAATGCAAACAAATACTCAATTTCAGACTCTCCGATGATCTCAAAAACTTCGAATGTGTATCGCCAAGGTACGTAAAACGTTCTTTTAGATAAGTAGGGGTAGTGGGATTAAAAAGTATATTGTAAAGAAGTGAAAGAATATGAGTATGATAAATTGATAATATTGTAATTTTTTCCACAACTACCTCCATTATGGTAAGCACTTGATTAGTAGAATAGGGTGCATTACCCACGTATCCCCAAGCGGTCACCGGTGACCGCTCTCCACTAACTACATTATAGACCTTATTTCTGTTAATTAGAGACTACTTTAGTATGAACAAATGAACCCTACACTCTTGTTTCTCTCGGAGACCCAGATCAGGTGCCCGTCGGACGTATCCTACCTGAACTACCCTGGTTTTTCCCTGGAGCACAATTTTGTTCCGCATGCAGGTGTATGCGTATACGTCCGAGACGGCATCTGTTACCGGCGTCTCCGAAACCTTGAAGACCCAAGCTTTTCTGCTCTCTGGATACTGGTAGACATAGGCATGGAGAAAATTCTTTATGCCTGTGTCTATCGGTCGCACAGCGGAGATTTGGAGGCGACCAGATTAGCGCAATACCTCGGCGAAGCGGCGGATGCGGCTCGTCAGGCGTACCCTTCGGCCCAGTTGGTGTTACTGGGGGACTTTAACGCTCATCATCAGGAGTGGTTATTCCCATACCAGTGCACCGACCATGCTGGAAGGAAATGCGTAAGCTTGCGCTTTCGCTTGGCCTGACCCAGCTGGTCCAGGAAGCCACAAGGGTGCCCGATGTCGATACGCACACTGCCAATTGCTTAGACCTTCTGCTGACAACTGATCCAGACCGCTACTCGGTGACAGTCTCATCACCTCTAGGTAGCTCTAACCACTGTCTGGTGAAATCTGTATCGACACACTCCCCACCAGATCCCCAGGTCCCAGAGGACTTCGGCGGATGTGGCGATACAAGTCAGCGGACTGGGATGGGATGCGATCTTTTTTCGCTTCCTATCCTTGGCGGCCTGTCTGCTTCTCTTCTGATGACCCGTCAGCTTGTGCGGAAGCCGTAACGGGGGTGCTGCGCCAGGGCATGGAATACTACATTCCATTCTCGGACGTGGCATCCTCTGGTGGGACCCGTCCTTGGTTCGATGCCGACTGCGGACGTGCCGAAGCGCAAAAGCAGGCGGCATACTTGGCATGGGCGGATGCCAGGCGCCGTAGGGCTGATGACATTCATCAAAAGAAGAGAGCCTTTAATCGGGCTGCCAAGTCATGCAAAAGGCATTACGGATGGCTCGGTTTAACCACATTGGCCGTATAGGGAACAAACTAGCTTCCTACCCAGCGGGAAGTAAAGCTTTTTGGTCCCTGGCCAAGGCGGTTGAATCGAACTTCTGTCGCTCCTCACTTCCTCCGCTCCTGAGGTCTGACGAGACGCTGGCTCACACTGCGGTAGAGAAAGCGAATCTATTTGCTTCTCTATTTGCGGAGTCTTCGCGTCTTGGTACACACTGGTGGCGCCTTGCCTCCTTCTGTTAATAGCGTATGCAAGACGTATATGTCGCAAATTCGCATTCGACAGAGGGAGGTATATAGGACGCTACGTGATCTGGACGTGAACAAGGCCAGTGGTCCCGACGGAATCCCAGCCCTGGTTTTAAAAACCTGTGCGCCTGAGTTGTCTCCAATCATGACACGTCTGTTTCGCCTTTCCTTGGAGACTGGTCTAGTACCGGTTGCATGGAAGCTGACCAACGTACAGCCTGTGCCTAAAAAAGGTAGTCGTGCCGACCCTAACAATTACCGCCCTATTTCGGTCACGTCCATACTCTGCAAGAGCATGGAACGTGTACTTAACAATAGACTCCTGGCATACCTTGAAGGTAACGATCTCCTCAGCGATCGGCAATACAGGTTTCGACGTAACCGATCGACTGGGGACCTTCTTGCGTATGCCACTCACACTCACTCACATGGAGCGAGGCCATAGAGGGGCACGGAGAGGCACTAGCAGTCTCCCTCGATATTTCGAAGGCCTTTGACAGGGTATGGCACGACAGTCTAATCGGCAAGCTTCCTGCATATGGACTTCCTACTGGTCTGTGCAAATGGATAGCAGACTTTTTGAGGGATCGGTCAATACGAGTAGTCATTGATGGCTGCTCGTCTGACCAATTCGGTATTAATGCCGTCCCTCAGGGGTCAGTACTTTCAGCGACGCTCTTTTTGCTGCACATAAACGACCTGCTTAAGCCCGGTATCTTTGGGTATGCAGATGACAGCACAGTTGTTGAAAGGTATGTGTCCGGTGCGCGGACTAGCGGAACACAGATCCAGTCTTTAAGAGAATCCATGGTCGAACGTTTGAACTCGACCTTGAAGGCGGTGTCCGACTGGGGTGACGCCAACTTGGTTAGGTTCAATGCTAGCAAGACCCAGGCGTGTCTATTCTCCGCCAAACGCAGTCAATTTCCGCTGACTCCTACTTTCCGGAATGTATCCGTACCGATAACCGATCGTCTTGAGCTTCTTGGTGTAACTCTGACGCCCACACTCAACTTTGGCTCCTATGTAGAGTCAAAAGCGCAACTGGCTGGTAGGAAGTTGGGTGTCCTATTGAGGGTAAGACGGTACTTCACGCCGAGACAATTGCTGAGCCTGTACCAAGCACAGGTTCGGTCCTGTATGGAGTACTGCTCTCATCTTTGGGACGGCTCGGCAAAATATCAGCTGGACGCGTTAGAGCACATTGAGAGCGTGCCAGGAGGCTCATCGACGATGATGCGCTTGTGAAGGCTCAGCTTCAAAGCCTCGAACACAGACGTAAGGTTGCAAGCCTTTCGGTTTTCTACCGGATACATTTCGGGGAGTGTGCGGGGGAATTGCACAACTTGATTCCCCCTAGTCCTTTCCATCATCGTACCACAAGACAATCCGCGAAGCGTCACCGATTCATGGTAGATGTTCCGCCCACACGCACGAAGCGCTTCGCTTCAAGCTTCCTTGTGCGTACTGCTAAAGAGTGGAATTCTTTGCCAGAGTCTGTATTTCCTGAAGGATATAACCTGGGAGTCTTCAAGGCCCGAGTGAATAGGTTGCTTATGGGACGACGTGCTCCAACGTAGACCGCATCATCGCTTACCATCAGGTGAGATAGTGGTCAAACGTCGCCCCATCAATTATAAAAAAAAAAAAAAAAAATAGGGGATGATTTTCAACAGGTTAAATCCGCTTAGCATAAAAAATATTGCAAAAATAACAAAAAAAATGTACTATGGTAGTAGTGCTAGCTACTATCACAGTACAATTATTTTTCAGTAGTCACTTAATCTATAGTCAGAATTTTAATTAGATTCCAGATTTGACAATGGCTACTGTCATTTTCTGAAATAATGATACCACGTATAATAGTGTAGTGATGCACACAAAAATCGATAAACAATCAGTGTGTGGGTTTTATAATAAATGTTACAGAAAGTGACAAGATAGCGATAGCGATGACGGCAACAATTTATAAAATAAGTTATTACCATAATACATCTATATGTTTTATTTGTCATGTTCCTTCATGATTACATTTTTTTATTTATTTCACACACAATTATAAAAGAATAGTCTCAGATCGTTAATTAATCGTCAAAACTAAATTATCGGTTCAGAAATATTTATTTTCCTGATATACTTAGTTTATGAGAGTAAAATTATAAACGAGAAGAATCGATCCAGAAATATTGCATTCCCAAATCGAATAATTTCACAACGTCACTATTTAGTACTTGTCATAACGTTGCAACACTGAAATTGTCAAATCTGGAATCGAATTAAAATTCCGAGTATAGGTGAAAATTTTATTGAGAATACTTAGTTCAGGAAAAATATACATTCTTTTCTAAACTAAAGCAGTTGGCTCAGAATTATCATTCAATAATACTGGAGCACTATTCAGGATACCATGTACAAAAATACAGATGAGAAATGTAGCAACAAAAGACTGGGCACAGGGTGTACTTTTACGTGGATAACATAACATAACTCTTTGTAATTTAAAATTATTTAACTTGGTTTTTTTTTATTTTTTATGATAACTGTTGGAACCTTGCCCATCACCTAGTGCCATATATCTAGTTCTCTTTATCATCTGTAATCATTCACATACCTTTTCCATAAATTTTTTTATCAACTCAGGGCAATTTAAGTTGTCTTCTGGCTCCCAAGAATCGAATTTGCTAGACCATCCTTTCCAGTGTATAAAAAATTCTCGTTGTCCATTTTTCTTGTGACGAACTTCTAATATACGATCTACCTACAAAAAGAAGATTTTTTAATCAAATATGATTTATGATTCTTTAAATCTTAAATAATTTTTGCTAAAGTACTTAGTAGAAGTATGTAAATAATAATATTTGTCAACAATTATTTTTTTATTATTCTCAAATATAGAAAATAATTATAGTACTAGGGATAGAGATAAATGAATACAATGTGGTATTATTCTTTAACTTGTCGAGTACCGTATTTATAGACACAATTAAAGAACAATAGGTTGCGGTCACCGGTGACCGCTTGGTGTTTGACAGTTTAATTTACAACATATTTCAGTTGTGTCCTTACCTCATACTCTGCATTTTCATCAGCATTGCTATCATCCCAGTCATATTTGGTACGCTTAGCAGGTGTCTTCGGAGTTTTTTTAGCTTTCCTTTTGTTATTCTTTTTTTCAGCCTTACTTTCTTTAGTTTTGGAATTCTCTTTCTAAAAAATGAATAGAACCTTGTTGCTTTTCAAAACCATAGGCAAGTTACTTGTTTAATTTTTCCCTTAATCCTGTTTGTGTACAACTACTATTACTACTCAGATCTTTAAGAAGCATGTTTTCTTGAGGTTATTATTATTAAGATGTCATTGTTTACAAGTGTACAACATGATTACATAACCAAGCTCAGTCTAGATGTAGACTGAACTGAGTTACTGAAGCATGCACTTGCAGAAGAAATTCATATCTTTGAAAGATGCCATAGACTCTTAGCAAATATTTATAACATATCATAATAAAATTATAGCTAATCTATACTAATCTATCCTATGTAGAAAAATAAAGTTGTGTTATTTACACTATTTAATTTTATAACTTGATAATGGCTAAATCAATTTGGCTTAAAATTGGTGACAAAGAAGCTTGCACCAGGAGATGAATGAAGGATATTTTTTATCCAAAGATTTTCCAAAATTCCTATAGGAATGGGAACAAACAGGATGGCATGCAATTACGAAGTCGCAGGCAGCAGCCAATCTATAATCTAAAACTGAAGACTTTGTTAGTTTGCTAAAATGCACTAATCTCCAAAACTACTTTTTGTTTGGTTAGAATTGAATAATTCTTTTTGCATTGGATAGTAGTATAAAACATCATGCTGCTATAATGGGAGCCATGCAGTAGCAAGTGAAAACGCGCGGAAGTACTAGACGAATAAATGATAAAACATAAAACCTAATAAAGCTCTGTTATTATGATCAAACTTTAGATAACACTATTTTCTGGATGAGCAAAATATAGAATAGTAGTGTAAATAATCTCACAAAACATGATGTACCCATTATTTTCCACACATTAAAATTACTTGTAGGATAATTAGTATGAAATAACGAAAATTCTTACCTCATCATTATACTTTTTGATTAGCTCAGGACAGTATATAGTATTTTCTGGTTCCCAAGTATCATTGTCAGCTGAATATCCCTTCCAACGTATGAGGTAAATCATTTTACCTTTAATTCTTCTGGAATCCACAATTTTTTCGACCTGAAATATTAAAATACATATTTGCACTTTATCTTTACGGAACGGAACAAAACTAGTAGGTCATTATAATATTATGTTAATATTAAAGACCTTTTAATGACTAAAGTTCAAAGTATTATTTAAAAAAAAATGATACTACGAATAAGTGTTTACAAACATGTACAAATAGTCACAAACCTCATATTCCTCTTCTGTCATATTCTTTTTCTCGGACTTCTTTTTTTTAGTCTTATTCTTTGCTTTACCCTTCTTGGAAGATTCTTTGATGGTACTTGTAGAAACATTCTCATTTATTTCGACATTATCGGTTGATTCCGATTCCGGCTCTTTTTCATCTGGGTCAGCTTGGCGTTCCGCGTCGGTGGAATGTTCTTCGTTTACAACAGATCCATTCGTGGAAGACACTACATCGTCATCTGTGCGACTTTTAGATATTTTGCGCATGATGAATTTCGGATTATAAACAATAATATAAGATAACAGTAACAATTAGCAAACCGAAAAGGAGGGAAAATCCAATATGTACTCAACGCAGAAATGAGCTTGATTGATAGCGGCGGCCAAAGAGTATAATAAGTGCGGCGGCTGTGCTTGGTGCCAGTGTTGCCAACTTTAGGCTCATACGGATCATACAATACACTAGGAAATTAGGAAAATCGTATTATATCAAGATTTCGAGATTATTTAGAGTCTGAATAGGAAAATAGAAATAGGAAAATCGTATTATATCAAGATTTCGAGATTATTTAGATTTGAAATTATTTAGAGTCTGGCCAACGAAAAGGAAGTGTGGGAAGTGAAAAGTGTGGGAGAGCCATGCTTCGGCACGAAGTACGCGGTATAGATTAGTCACTGTCAGTTTGAGTCAGACACTCTCGCCTCATCCAAGGCGAGAGAAGTCTATTTCAAAGAGTATAATAAGTATAGGGGATGTCTATTTTACCAACTCAAAAAAAAAAAGTTAATGAGGTTAGTGTATGCTCAGCTTTAAATGTAGAATCTGACATTCACGTAACGTGCGTTGCTTGCTGTCAGACTTTGACTTTGATGATGACTTTTATTACTTTGATGAAGTATTTCAATGAGTTGATTTTTTTTGTTGATTTTTTTGTAATCTTGGACGGAAAGTTTGTAAGAAGTTTCTAAAAATATAATTCTATGAATATTACAATATTCGTTATAGCAATTATCTACTGGCTATGATTCATCATTTTATTTTATACTATTAGAAATAAGTATAAGTAACTCGCAACTAAACAACGTGCAAATGAAAATCTTCGAATCATGACAAGCCGAGGAAGTTTTAAATCCGCACGAATGAACTACAAAGTTCAAAATGAACAACTAGAAACTAAAGGTACCAAGCCAACCCGTGAAGAATCCTCAATCCTAGAAGTGTTCGTTTTGATGATTGTGCATATATGTAAAAAGATTCTATTCTTTGACACCAATTTAAAAATAGCCATTTACTTAGGAGCTCTCTTTTTACTATCGATCATCGCGGATGTATTAACATTTCCGAAAACATACTTTTCGAGAAGTGACAATGTTTTTAATCAATATTTTGTGAAGATTGGATGGTTTTGGACACTATTTATGACATTGCCTTATGTTTTCTTGACGTCGCACACGACATGCTGTGGGAAAAAGAGAATAATAGGCATGGGTCATTTGTCAAGATTACTTGTTGCTACTGTGTTTTGGTACACATGGACAACTGTCTTCAATATGATAGAAACAAATTATGGACGTTGTAATACTAAATTATATGACAACAAAATAATGTGTTTAAAGAATGGACATTTTTGGAATGGGTTTGATTTATCTGGGCACTGTTTTATTCTAATATATTCGAGTTTAGTTATGATAGAAGAAGCTAAAGCTATCAATGGCTGGGAAAGGATAAAAGACTACATAAGAGATGAGAAGTATGCTCGTAGTATTGATGACAAGTCTGCCAGTATAAATCCTCTGAAAAACATCACAAGTGATGAACTAAGTGTATTGAAAGTGTCGTATGAGAATTACACACCATACGTAAGGGCATTTTTAATAGGTATTGCTTTGCTGCAGTTGTTGTGGGATGTTATGTTGGTTTCAACGATATTATACTATCACATAATGGTGGAAAAGTTCATCAGTGGTGTCATAGCAATACTCACTTGGTTTGTTACTTATAGAGTATGGTATACCATACCAAATGTTTTTCCCAATCTGCCAGGAGAAGGCATATTTAAATACAACAATCGGATTAAACCTGTGTTCACCACACCCACTTATAGAAAAAAGAGTTCTACAAATGGTAAACATTTTATGGGCATGCCAATTAATGCTAACCAAGACTCTGAAAATAGTAAAGAAGAAACTAAATAGATCCATAAGACATATTTTTCACAGGTTGGGGTTTTAGTATATGGGGTTTCTGTTTTACAATAATAAAAAAATATGGTTGTTAATTCAATGCTCTAATTAGAGATTGTTAAGCACTTTAAGCAGTGGTGCATTTTGTTTACCTACCTATTTATTTAAAATTGATTGATATTTAAAGCTGAACTGAATAGTACAAATTTATTTATAACTATTTGGCAATTTGCATTTTATGGTCTAATTATTTATTTATGTTGCAACTGATTTATATTCAAATTAAGTCACCAAGTCTTTGCATATTAAATGGTATTAACATCATGTACTTATGATATAAGAATGTTGATGAAAAAAAGCAAAATCATGTTATAATTTTATTAAATATCTAACAAAGGTAAATAATACTGTTTCATTGTATTCCAATTTAATACCTAACACTTATTTACGTAATTACACATTAAATTCTTGAAGAGCATGTGTTCTTACAAAAAGATCACATGTAGGTAGGTACTGACAATGATAGTCTAAGTTAATTTATTTTATATACAAAATTATGCTGCTCACATTTGTAAAACCTATGACTGTCAAAATCCAATTCCCTTATTGTCGAATATCATACCTAGCATCATAATAATGCTCAATCTCTTTTTGTTTTTCTGAATGAGGTACTTAAATTGTTTAAAATGTCTTGAAATTCACCGTAGCAAAAATATTTTTGTTGCATTTACTTAAATTTTAAATAAGTGGGTACCTATATAAAAAACATAATACGCCTTTAATTGCTTATTTACCAAACCAAATAAACATCCTATGTAATACGTAAATTAAGGTAGCTTACCAATAATGTGAAACAAATATAACAACTTCTACCTATTTTACTTTGTATTACGATGTACCTACTGTATAGTATATTTATACTCGATTGAGAATTACATCTTTAACGTACAATTTTCTTTAATACGTATGCAATTGCAAAAATAACGCCGATAGAAGCAGCGCCAGCAGCACCCAGATATAAAGGTGGCTGTGACATAACTATCATTTTTAGGTGAACTGGTAAACTAGGTATTGTCTTTTTAAAAGATTCCCGTTGTTTGACACGATTGTAATAGTTTTCTAATAAAGGGCGTTTTCCGGCTGCCCAATATCTGTCTTCGTAACCAAGTTCCCATAGACGTTGAAGAAGAATTGCCAGGTTGATATCAGCAATACTAAAGTTTTCACAGCACAGCCAGTTACCTAAACAAGATATACTTAATTACTAACAGAATACAGTAAAAGGATAATTGTAGATACCTTAAAAAAATCTAGGTAGTCCCAATTGGGTAAGTTGGTAGGTAGGTACATGGCTATTAGCTACACATCAAGCTATGCAAGTACAAAATAAACTGATTGTCGAATGTGAGAAACGATATTGCAAAGAGAGACCGTAATTGTTAGGAGTGTGTGTACAAAATGGCATGTTGATTACTTTTTGTTAAGTAAGTATAGATTGCATAAATACTATCTAATAATAAAAATAGTGATTCTCAGTTTATTGGGATATCCATATAATATGACATAGGGGTGATACAGGTGTATCACCCCTATGCTCGTCCTTAGTCAGCTGCATATTCAGCATTGTATAAAACTATTATGCAATTTATTGTGTAAAAACTGAACATTTTATACATAATTTATACCTACACATATTCTACATAAACATTCCTTGCATAGGATAGGATATAGTATAATATAGATAGACAGTAACATAATATTCATATTAACTCGTCGAGTACGGTATTTATAGACACAATTAAAGAACAATAGGTTGCGGTCACCGGTGACCACTTGGTGTTTGACAGTTTAATAGCATAGAAATATTTACCTTCAGGTTGCTTTTTCAATTGTTGTTCAATTTGGCTCATAACTTGATCTATAATTTTTAGTACTTTAGTGTACTCTTCTTCATTTGTTATTATTTCATGTTTGCGATCCTGTATCTCAGCTTTGTACAATAATATACTTTTAGCTTTAGGATTTTCTTCAGCCAATTTCCTTAGGTTTGTTGAATTACCCAAGTCTCCACCTTCAAAGATGCCAATAAAACTGGTGTATATCACCTATTTTTTGCAACAATATGTTTATGGAATTTGTTTACAAATGATGGTAATAGCATGACTGAAGATAAGATAAAACAGAACAAGAACAAAAAGATTTATCCTATCTGATGCATGTTCGTCATGTTCAGATAGTTTTTTATTTATATACATATATGGAATATGGAATAGTTTTTTTTTAGTTATCTATCTTTTAAATTAATGTTTTGTTTATTTACTTCATTACGTAATTACAAATAATAATTGTGTTAACTTCAATACTATTACCATAACTTAAGTTTGAAATAAAACAGTAAGAATGAAAAGACTTTCATCTACTTAATATTATTAAACAATTTACACACCTACTTACTTTTCAGTATTTCACGCACTGGCAGTATGAACGGCAACTTAGGAGTGCCACTTAAATGAGGATGAAAGAATGAGCCCACTGTTATCAAGCCCCCTGGAAGTGCTTCCAACATCTCTCGGAATCTATTGATGCTATCAATCACTTTGTTATCTGTTGAAACGTTTATTAACGGTGTTAATTCTGAAAACAAAAAAAGGTACATAGTTAAAAAAGAAATTCCACTTCAATACGAACTAAGAATTTTGTAAATCAATAAACAAATTATGAGATCACCATGGAGTTATCTACAAATTCCTCAATAAATAAAACATACTCCTATGAAGACAAAAAAATCTTCACAATAGTTACCTGGATCTAAATAATATTCCAAATAATCTAAAATTCTTGTTGAATCTGGAATAACTTCATTTTTTACTTTTAGAACTGGAATTTCCCCTCGGGGATTTATATCCAAAAACCATGATGAATACTGCTCTCCTTTTGTTATGTCCACAATCAACGGCTCAAAATCTACATTTTTTTCGTAAAGACTCATGAGAACCTGGAAATATATCAATAGAAAACTTCCATAATTATTATCCCATATTAATATTCTAGAATGAACTCTTCTAGGTCTATCTGAATGTAAAAATAAGTTTGTTATGAGTTGGTCCGCCTAGAACTGTGGTGGATAGTAACTCTTATCTAGTATCATTGTACTGAATACTGTAAGCCAAGAGAACAAAATAATGAACACAATATATTATACTGTACCTTTTGAGAATAAAAGCTGTAATAATTACAGTATAGATAAATGTTTGAGGATTTTTTACTGGTAGTAGCATTTGTACTTATTGATGGCATAGGAATTTTTTCTAGATATTTTTGAACAAAATGCATGTTTGATAAATGATGTGAAAGCAACTAATCTAAACCATAAAATTACCTACACTACATAAATCAACACTATTCTTTAAACTTCTACGCGGTTTTTCCGCCACCAAGAAATACTACCAACATAACAAGTTTTAAATCAGCTGACTGACAGGCAGTGCATACATAAACTTCCGCCGGAAACATAATTTCAGATAAATGCAGCAACATCTATTGTAGTGTCTTTCACCCATTTACCTTTAAATTGTTTAAAATGTATAGAAATAACTGTTTCCCATTTATATGTTTATAAAAATAAAAGCGTTCTGTTGATTAGTGGCCAGAGATTTTTGTTTCCTAGTATATGTCGAACTAAAAATTTTTTAATATCTGAAACACGTGTGTCATCTATACCTTCTGTTCTTGTTCAAAAACCACACCTTGCACATGCGACAAATCTAACAGGGTCATCAGATATTTTAAAATGAGGTAAATTACCTTTTATTTTATCATCTCAATGTAAAATAATAACTTTTTTATTTTCAACTTAGTTTTCTGAAGCACCCCTCTATTAAAATATATATTATCTATGGTTTATATTCATTCATCATTCACATTTCACATTCTTGTTCATCATCAAGACAAGCTAGTTCTATCTTCATTCTACAGTTTTAATTTTATGAAGTGAATGAATCAATGAATAGTTTGAGTGTTTCGCGTTCGTGTAATTTGTGATGATTCTGTTGCTATTGTATTTTTACACAAATTAATGTCCAACGCTAGAAAAAATGTACTATGCTTTTAGCGAGGCATAGGAAAAGTAATTGATTGTTTCCAAAGTTCTGTTTATCAACACTAAACTGAAAATGGAGGCCTCTAACAATACTGACGCCGTCAACCTTGGCGTTGGTGAAGTAGAAGCAGAAATTGGAGAAGAACTAAAACAATTAGAGGAAGGAAAAGATTTTGATACACGAAGTGAAGTAACTAGTTCATCTTCAAGCGAGTCAAGTACACCGAGTATTAGTTCAGTCAGCACTAAATCCAAAGAGAGACGCGCAAATCGTAAACGAACTAAGTCAGAAAGCCATTCACCTGTACAACATAAACGACGATGTCTTACAACCACTAACAGTAAGGTGAAGACTTATGATTATATGACAAAGTTGAATTATTTATTCAGAGACACCCGATTCTTTTTAATAAAGTCGAACAATGCAGAAAATATTACATTGTCAAAAGCGAAAGGAGTCTGGTCTACGTTACCACAGAATGAAGCCAATTTAAATCAGGCTTATAGAGAATCCCGAAACGTGCTACTAATATTTTCAGTGAAGGAAAGTGGTAAATTTGCTGGTTTCGCTCGTCTAGCAAGCGAGTCACGTCGAGATGTTGCCCCTATATCATGGGTACTGCCACCTGGGCTGTCTGCTAAAGTTTTAGATGGTGTCTTTAAAGTTGATTGGATTTGTAGAAAAGAATTGCCTTTCAGTAGCACTCTTCACTTATACAATCCATGGAATGAAGGTAAACCTGTCAAAATTGGCAGGGATGGCCAAGAAATTGAACCTAAGGTTGCAGAAGAGTTGTGTAGGCTGTTCCCAGAAGATGAAGGAATTGAAATGACTCCGATTCTTAGAAAATCTAAGGAAGCATCTAAAAAGTCTTACCTAAAGAGTGGTGGCAACTACAGGACATATCGTGCCCCTTTGTCGTCAAGAGGATCCAACTTTCGAAACCGTTTAAATACATCATCAAGAAGTAGAAGAAAGATGTTCATGTCTCCAAGGAGTCGTATTTCTTCAAGTTCATATAAACGTCGTTCTCCTTCACCATACATGAGAGAACGATTACCAATATGGTTCGGCCGTAATCGTGAGGGCTATGGTAATAGTAGTACTGCAGCTGAAGCATATGTAGCTGAATATATGCGATCAATGCATCATCAGTTGCCACCATTGCCTTATGTGCCACCACCTGGATTTAGTGGAGCACTCCCAGCTTATGATGGAATACCACCACCACCTCCACCACCACCTCCGAGATACTATGACTTGGCTGAATATCCTCGTTCAGTGCTAGTGTATGATAAAAGATCTTATGAAAGATCTGTGGATGAGTTTTTGTGGCGTACTTCAGATCGCTCACGTGCCCGTAGCCGTGATCGTGATTCGCATAGGTCCTACCGTGACCGACGATAAAACTATCAACCCCCAATGTATTGATATGATATCTGATAATTGATAATTGATAATAAAAAAAATTGTGTTTGAACTTTGAACTTTATTGTGTTGTGGTGAACTATGTTCTTATAGTCTTGAACTATGTTGATTGAAATTTGGACATTTTTTTAAATAAAAGGTATTAAATGGGACTAATGAAAAATGGGTATCAGTGTAGTTCTACATTAAATGCAAGAAATCTCTATTTACAGGGTATTTATGCTGGAAAATAGTGATGAGTGTGGTTTGCATTAACTGACTATTTTTCTAAAACTCTGATGCAGTGAAAAGTGTAACATTAGCCAAATTATAATATTGTTGTAGTTACGAACTACAAGTGCTGCTGGTTAATGTTACAAATTAAGAAATTAAGCATTTTTTATATATTTGTACAACTAATATGGTTGTGTATAACTGTGATAATTTCCACCTATTTTAACTGTAAAATTTTATATAACTTAACGCTATGCCTATTTTGGCAAATACATATCAACCAAAGAAATAAACTTCAAAATTTTGCATTTTTAATAATATATATTTTGAAATGGTTGTATTATTCGTGTTATTAATGCTTGAAATTGAAATTTTATAAAGCCAGCAATTTTTATTGTTCTGGTCAGTTTACATAGTGTAGGTACAAACAAATTGGTAATAACGTTTTATAACATGACTGATAAGATGTTTCCATTGTATGTTATTAGTAATATTTCCAGTCTTATGCCATATTTCATACCTATACACAGGGTCGACCTAAATCCTATAAGAGGTGTTAGCATCCATTATTTCTGTTCTGACCGATTTGACTAAGGAACCCCATATCCCAAACGTAACCGTACTCAAGATATTGGCCTTTGTATTACTTTTATAAAAATTCCAGATTTTGGTCAATATACTAAGAAAACAAAACCTTATCACAAATGTATTCAACGTTTAATAATCCTTTGTCTACTATGCCTCTGTTGGTAAAGTCATTTGCAGTTTTATTGTCTTAAATAATAAAGCAACTAATCTTCTATACAAAAATAGCACAAAACAGACCAAACTTTAGACTAAAAAAAATGAATCAGAATCTGGAATTTTTATAAAAGCGTACAAAGGTGGATATCTTGAGAACAGATAAGTTTGGGATATAGGGTTCCTTAGTCAAATCCATTGGGAATAATGAATACTATCACCTCTTAAATGATTTAGATAGACTTACCCTGTAACCCTGTAAGTACTTATTGGGATCGCATTGTAATTCAAAAGAAGTACTGATTTATGCTGAATTTCAGTCAGACCAGCTGTTGTATTTATAATTTATATGTATATATAATTTTTGGTTTATTTATTCTATAGACGTTTATCTGCCCATTTAACTGGAACTTCATAGGCCCTGTCCAACTAAATTTTAGACTTGAAGCTTATCTTACTAATATTATACATGCAAAAGTTTGTGTTTCAGTGTTTACTTGTTACTTTTGTAATTCTCAGTAGTAGCATGGAGTCTGGAATTGTGCCCGGTATATGGCAATTGGCTCACAACCTATTATATGGGGCTCATAACATAAATAGTGAAAAGTGGGTGTTACATTTTACAGTGGCATAATGTACACCTCTGCCTATCCCTTCGGGGATAAAAGGCGTGATGTAAGGTAATTTAATATCATCAGAAAACAGATAACACCGTGTTAAAGACCTATTAATATAATTATACTGTCCGATATATAATAGGTCCTATAAGGCTACATCGGTTGAAGTTCTATTTGAAATGAGAACGGCAGATTTCGTACCGCTTCGCTAAAAAAAAGATTTGTCATAAAAAATTGGGTCATTATAGAACCTCCTAAGTACGTTATGTTAGCATATTTAATAGATTTTAGAACTTGGGAAACCCTAGAAAACCTGATATTCAATAATGATAAAAATCAATCCACTAAACGTTTCCATAATAAAAAACAAACCGCGATTGACGTTTACAAAGTTGCCATGCGTAAACATGAAATGAGAGTATATTGAATGTCGCTATTTCATAAACTCATTTATTTTAATACTAGCTTTTACCCGCGCTTCGCTCGCGTCACAAAAGGATAAAAAGTAGCCTATGTGACATAGCAATACATACAGCGCCATCTATACCAATACTTTTGTTTTCCCTCGGAAATATCAAATGTTTCGCGATAAAAAGTACCCTATTATTTAATCCGGACTTCTAACTTTACGTCTGCAAAAATTCAAAGCAATCAGTTGAGTAGTTACGACGTGAAGGTGGAACAAACAAACAAACTCACTTTCAGATTTATAATATTAGTAAGGATCTAACAATGAAACATTTTCCTTTCCATTCAAACATTTTTTTTAAGTACATATCATTATTTTAATTTCATTTTGTGAGGTCTACATGGATTATTAACGATAATTGACATTTTCACAAACTTGAATATGGCAATGTTGAACTGGTATTTGACATTTGTTGTTGAAGACGATTTGTCAATGTCAAATTGTCAAAGTGCGCCTTGCTGTTGGTTTCAAATGCGGTGTTATGATGTGTTTGTACAAATTGGAAGTCATTTTATTCATCTGGTGATACGTTGAGTTGGGCAGTCGTTCCTCCGTAGCCGAAATTGCGAAAATACACTTATTTTCATTTGTGCATAGTGTGTTGTATTTTGTCGCGATGACGAATTTACAGTGCATTAATTACAACCAGAGTTTGTCACATGAGACGGCATGCTCTAGGAAATGAGAGTGAAGACTAGACGTGGTCAACAATATCCCATTGTGGACTTATCTTAAAGATGTAAGTAGGTACCTAGTTTACACATGACGTATCGAAGTCACCTTGTTGCCTAAATAAAGGGGGCATAGTGTTATCTACCTATAATGTATCATTTTATTCTAGATCTCTCCTACCGACCATATTTGCCACGCTTGATGGCAATTAGCAATGTATTGGGATGTTCCTGAAAGTATGTCCAGCAAACAAACTGATCATCGACATGTCTGTGTCATATGTGGTGCATTCCATTGCAAGGATAAGGTGACGCAGGGGTTAAATTGAAGGTGCCAACGAACAGGAGCAAAGACTAGCTCATATAGTATCTGATTGGATTCAGCCATGAGAGGTAAAAATTTATTGTATTAAATTAACCATATACTATTATAATATAATTTAAAGTCAATATAAGATTCTAATAATATTACTTTTTTTAGCTTACTTCCAATGATGAAGATCGTGTTCCATGCTGGCTGAGAGCCTTAACAAGAGTCGGAACTATAAGACCACAACCTGACATACCACCTCATAGTGTTCACTATCAGGATGTAATGTGTTATGTAAACATGGACTAAGCCTCACTTTAACATTGCCGTTTGTAGAACAGATGAGGCCAGAAGATGTTAATCGGCTGTCAGAGCTTCAATAGGTATGTGATGTGTATAACCGGTTTATAATAGGTTTATACACATGTTATAATTATAATAATTGATTAATTAGCATGCTGTTTGAGCTCCTATGATCTGTGTTATAGGAATACCCTATTAAAGGCATTTTAACATTGTAAAATCAAATAATGTAATCAAATATTTGTTTTCATTTAAAATCTTATCTTTTCTATTTTAAGATAGGGAATCAGACATTATTATAACATGTGAAACTAATGGAAAAAATGTAGTTTTGTTTACTTTTTTTACAGTTATCTTACTTGTTTACAGATATCAGCAATTAATGAAGTGTGTGCTGTATGACACCACCTGCTCTCTTTTTAGAAGTACTCCTAGAAACAACCTAAATACAATGAAATAAAAGTATTTCAAAATAATACATTTGTTTTATTTTAAACAGGTACGTTTTTTTTTTTTTTGAGGGGGGAAAATCATCCAATGACTTCTCCCGCCTGGGTGAGGCGGGAGGGAGTGTCAGACTCTTACTGACTAAAAACCACCCCGTTCCTACTCCTGCACTTCGAGCCGGAGCCCCGGCAACCCGTTAAGTCTTCCGCGGCTCCGTATCGGCATCAGCCTTGTTAGGCCCCATCTGTGGTCTGATGGCTCCTTGAGGCGCGCGCGGAACGCGACGCGCTGTACGCTCGGGCCTGGTTCTGGTCGGGCGGCGAGTCACCCATGCTCGCCGTCCGCAGGCCCGTGCTTACGGTGGCCGGAGATCGTTTCGCGATCCCCGACGCCCTGAGTGTCTCTCGCGACGGCCGGGTCGTGAGGAGGTTCGTTCCCTGACGCGCTCCACCTCCTCCTTAGCTAGCATGACTGCTTCGCAGAAGGAGGAGACGGCATCCCAGTCCCCCTCGCTCCGTACCATGGTCTGAACCAGAGCCGGACGCGAGAGGTCGCCGTCGCCGATCACATTTCTGAGGACACGGCGGTGCTCAGTCCACGCAGGACACACCGCCACCGTATGCTCCACCGTGTCCTCCGGGCGATCCTCGCAGTGATGACACCCGGGCGTTTCCTCCCGCCCAATCCGAAACAGGAACCTACCGAAACTTCCGTGTCCGGTAAGCACCTGCGTCAGGCGGTAGGTGAGGACGCCGTAGCGTCTCTCAAGCCACTCCTCAAAGAGGGGACTTACCGCTGCAATGACAGCGAGCCCAGCCTTCGGTTGCGACAGTCGTTGCTGCCATTCCGCCATGAGATCACGCCGGAGCTCATCCCGCCACGCATTAATCTGGCGCGGCAGCGGAGTTTTGCCCCGGCGACGTGCCTCCGCGCGCAACCAAAACACGCGCGCGAGCACCTTCGCCTCCAGATCCCATGGCGGTAATCCGGCAGGTAAACAGGTACCTAGTAACTATATATAAACAATCCATAAAATAAATGCCAACTTTATTTTAGATTGCTTTAGTTTTATAGCAAAAATGTTCATTTTCATTTTACATTTCTTTAGTTGTGTTGTGGTGGCCAGTTTAAGAAGGTTTAAGAAGCCCGTTTCTCATGCATGAGAGTGCGAGTTGCAACGGCAAAGTACCAATGTGACTTTTTCGAGT